GAGACCTCAACCACCTTTCGGTCCATCAGTGGCTTCGCTCTGCCATCCCTGATTCACAACAACCAACCGCTCCTATAGGTTTCCTATTTCTGAAACTTCCACCACCGTCTTGTGCGGTACTACTGGTAAGCTAAATGAAATGAAATCTAAGGATAAGTAAGAAATTCAAATCATACCCATCTACGATCAATTCATTGTCTTTTTATAACCTTAAAAAATCTAAGGATAAGGAAGGATACTTTCATTTCTTACCTCGAAGAAATCCAAGGATAAGTAATAATTTCAATTCATCTCAATCAACTTTGAAGTCTTTCTTTATTTTACCCGAAAAGAAATCTAAGGACAAGTAAGGACTTCAATTCATATCAATTTGCCTTCAATATATGTTCCGTTGTAAGCTAAAATAATTTTAAGGGTAGGTAAACATTTCAGTTCATATCAACCAACTTTCAATTAATTTTCCTTTTTAACCTAAATGAAATCTCAGGATAAACAAGTATGTTATTTCATATCCATCTACTTTCAATTCATGTTACTTTTGTCCACCTAGGTTTGCGTTTGAATCATTTTGAACCTTTGCATTGTAGATTATAAAATTTGAAAGAAAACTGGCTAAAAGGTTTTGGTATTTTTTTTGTTACCCCAGTTTATTTTTGACACAATAGAGTACCATCCAAACAATTCTATTATTGCGGATCTGAGTCAGCCAAGGGCTATCCCCTTAAAAAATTGTTTGGGTGTTGTTTTTTAATTGGAATTTAATAAGGAACTTGATCATTTGGGACATCTGCAATTTAATAAAAAAATGATAATTTAAGGAAATCAAATCCAATTTGTTTTTCTTGGGGGAAAAATAACACTGAAAAACAATTTTCCCAATAGGGCACCATCCCACTATAATCGGTCTACTACACTAATAAGTTCACTTAGGCACTGCTGTTGTTTCCACCAATGTGGATAAAACAAGACTGTACTGTTTTTGTCATCCTGGGGATCTAGCGCACAGTGTGCACAGGATTCAGTACTGCTTTGCCACCTTCTTCGTCATTGAGTTGTTTCTGCGCGTGGTGGCAGATGGCAGAAACTTCTTCTGCGGCGAGGAGACGGCTGGATGTTCGATGGAATGCTTGCGCCTACAAAGGGCATTTTGTGGGATTGTGAACAGGATTTTGTTTGCCTCCTTGAAATATTTTGATCTTTGTCCAGACATGTCCAGACACTGTGTTTTGCACTATAGGGTCCTTACCGTAAGGGCTATGACTGGGTTGAGCAAAGGTTCGCACGTGCAGATTCGGTTTTTTTGGTGACCCTGGCAGCACAAGAGTTCCTCGATCTTCTGTTTTTCAAGGAAGTCTCGCACTAACCATTAGCGGAGACCTCTACTGCAGAGGTGCGCTCTCGCCTGCGTGTCCATATTTGGAGCTATGTACGTTTTGCGTGTGGCAAGCCCAAGAGCTGCGTCACTTCTGGAGGGTCCCTTGTTTCGTGCGGCAGTCTTTGGTCTTTTCATCCGCGTGGCAGGGAGAATAATACTTCGTGCATGTTGCTATAACGTTGGCATCGGGTCAAAATAAGAGGCCGGAGGTCAGTTTTTGTAGCAGGCGCAAGGCTTGGTGACTGTGAACGATGCATTGAAAAGCAGAAAAGGATCGTGCTTTTGGACTGGCCACCTGGTGATCATTTTGCGTGGCAAGCGCAGTACTTTGGATGCCTTTGTTGGATCGCTCTCGTTATGGCGCGGACCTCTTTTTGATATCGCTCTAGCAACCTTCTCGTCTCTTTGCACGCGTCCGATCTCTCTTGTTGTGCCGCGGTGCCAATCTTGATATCCAGTGGAGATCTTGTGCAAAAATCTGCTCGTGGCCCTGGTGGGAAGACCTTGCGGGGTCCTCTCAAAAGCCCTTGTATATACGAAGATCTAGAAGATATCCCCTGCCTGAGGTGCTTGCACAACAGCTGTTGCGGGATGCTCTAAGAGGTTATTGAATCATGGTCTTGTAAGATCTTGTAAGATCCTCTTCAGGGACCTTGTGTGACGATCTAGCCACATTCTCTTTCAGAGGTCCCTGGGTTAAAAGGTTAAGAGGTCCTTCTGAGAAAATCTTATGGAGATCAGGGTGGGGTCCTTTGAGAGGTCCTTGTATGAAGATCTTGTCCGAAGGTTTTGTCAGCACGCGTTATCCTCAAGACTGTTTGGCGCCTTTCTCTAGGATATTTTCGAGAGCCTCCGGCTATTCCGTCGGCCCTTGATCCAGTGGCCTAATGGTGTGGGCCAAACGGAGCCTGTAGAATAGCCTGCTTGTGTAAAAAGGCAACTCACGTTGGTGTAAGACTAAGAGATTGCTGGTGTACAAGCTTTCTGGTGTCAAAGCTTCTTGGTGTGAAAGCCCGTTGGCGTACAAACAAAATGGTTGTGTATGTTCGCACAGAGGCCTGTTGGTGTAAACACATCTTGGTATAAAAACTTTGTTCTTCTTGTTGTTGTTGTTCTTGTTGCTGTTGTTGTTGTTGTTGTCGTTGTCGTTGTCGTTGTCGTTGTCGTTGTTGTTGTTGTTGTTGTTGTTGTTGTTGTTGTTGTTGTTGTTGTTGTTGTTGTTGTTGTTGTTGTTGTACAAGCCTTTTGGTGTTGTAGGAGTTTGTTGGTGTAAAAGCTTCTGGGTGTGAAGGCCTGTTGGTGTAAGGAAATGTTTGTTCATGTTTGACGTGGCGGCGAAGGTAAGCTACCAGGGGGGGGTTGCCTATTTTTGTAAGTGCGTCTCCGTGCTGTTGTTGGGAGGGTTGGCAGGTTTGTTTTGCTTTTTTTGACTTGCATGTTCCAAGACACACTTGTCACTTGATGCTGCGCTCTTCACTTTCTCAAGTAACTTGGCATTCTATCTTGATATATCTTGATGCCACACTGCTACACTCTGAATTTTCTCCAGTAACTTACCACACTCTCTTGACGCAACGCTCTTGACTTTCACAAATCGCTTGCCACACACTCATGATGCTACACTCTTAACTCTTAACTTTCTCTCAAGACCTCTCAAGTAACTGACCACATGCTCTTGATGCTACGCTCTTCACTTTCTCGTGTGGCAAGTTGCTCTTCATGCGGCGCTTTTGACTTTCTCAAGCCGCCGCCACACGGTCTTGATGCTACACTCTTAACTTTCTCCAGGAAATCCAGGAACTGGCCGCTCTCTCCTGATGCTGCGCCCGTAACTTTCTCTCAAGTAACTGGCCACATGCCGTAGTTGCTGCCCTTAACTTTGTCAAGTTGCTTGCAAAACGCTTTTGATGTTACACTCTTAACTTTCTTTCAAGTAACTAGCCACACGCTCTTGACGCGGCGCCCTTGACTTTCTGAAGTCGTTCGCCACACGCTCTCTATGCTCCGCGCGCAACTTTCCATTCTCTTGATGCTTCGTAGCTTGCAACCCGCGCCCTTGATGCTGCACTCTCAACTTTCTCAGGTCTTGCACCGCTCTGTTGATGCTACGCTCCCACCTTTCTCAAAAACTTGCTGGTTCGCACTTTCGGGCCACACTTTTGATTTGGTGGTTCGCGTAGAACCGGCATGTGCCCAAAACCAGGGCAGTTGTTCGTTCGCCAGGACTGGAAGTGGAGTTTGCTAGATCTCTTTGTTGTGCTCCTTGGATGAGGATGCACGATCAAAGTTTGGATTTTCGGACGCCGGCCACATTGGAATATGTACGTGGTTGGTTGCATTGAATCCGGAGGCGTTGTGATGTAATAGGCGTGTGTAGGTTTGAATTTTGACGTGTTATTTGGTTGAAACTAAAGAAACCATGTGATGAAGATAGGTTGACAAGAAATTGTGCAAACGTTGAAAAAATACGAACCCCTGTTTAGAATGGAGGGACACAACTTTGATCAGTTTTGCCTCCGTCCATTTTTTTTTGGGGGTGTTTCTGTGAGTGGAAGGATTTCGTAGTCCAAATTGGACACTTGATGAGAATCATTGAGAATCTGTGTTTTTCTGCCGCAGGGTCTGACAGCGTGTTTTGATAAAGCTGCAGGGTCTGACAGCGTGTTTTCATAAAGCTGCAGGCATCGGGGGTGAAGAAAACATAACATCTGCGAATGCAATCCCCGCGCGAGGCTGCAATGTAATTGTGCGCCGGGGTATTATTCACAAAATGACCGGCAGTTTTGGCCAACGAGAGAGGCTGCAATGCAGTCCAACACTGAAACCCCATATTCCATCCATTCATCACTGGTCTCAACGAAAGTGGCATTTTCTTCTTCCAATTATGTTTGATATATGATTCCTCAAGTCGATGTTCGATGGCACCAGACCCTTGGACCCACAAAAACGCAGCTTGCCTAGTCCATCCAACCCTCCACTTCTCCATGCCCCATTGGGGCGATTGGGGCGCCTGAAGGCTGACTTCAGTCTGGGAAATCTTGGCAGATGTACTGTACAACGCATTCCAGTTGCTTGCCGCAGCTGTTGTCAAGCGGTATGCCACAGAAACATCTGGGTTTACACATAGTTTGTGTTGAAACCCGACATTTGCAATAAAACTCATGTGACAAAAATCAAGCCGCAATGCGATGGTGTGACAAATTCAACATGATCAAAATTTTACAGTCCCCGAATAAAGGTGTAATTTCAAATCTATTGATTTTGGGACTAAAATGAGACTAGACTAGACTTAGCAGTTCAATTTCAGGTGGAGAAAAGCCTGCACACTTGGATACAACTGGCATTTTGACATGCCCAAGTTTGCCTGGGTTCAAGGACCTGACCCTTTAAAATCTTTACAGAAACCATATGGCCATATGGGCCCAGCATGGCCCAGCTGCGCCGAGGATTGAAGGCACCAGTGGTTTCAAGGCTTTGCGTATCATGCGTATCACTCGGATCATGAAGGCACCAGCACTCTGTGGACTCTGTGGATGTGTTCTGTGTGTTTATGTGTGTTTGGTAGTTCCATGTAGTTCCAGTATGTTCCAGTAGTGTGACCTGTAGAACAGTCGTTGGAAGATGTTGGAAGTATCACAAGGGCTCACAAGGGTATATGGGTTCTGAGATTCCATCTCAATGTTTAGATAATCTGTGTAGAAAATCATGCTTTTCGAGATTCCCAAGTTTGACCAATAGATTTTCTTTAATACTCGTACATGGCAGCTGCAGACTCCCCATTTCTTCACCTGATGTTTACTCGAAACGAAATGTGTTTGACCTCCCATGTCGGGAATACGGAATACTTGGCCCTTGGAATTACTTGGAATCATGGGGTTTGAGCCAGGGGAAATCAACAAGACTTGGCTGAGGCAATACTTTCCAGACGGCAATTGTATCCTGTAGCATGCAAATTGACAAAGCATCCGTCCGAGAAGGATGGGACACCACAACAGTTGGGCTACAGAAACAACACCTAGATTCACCTAGACCTAGCCTTCAAGATGTGTTGGATTGTCAAAACGAGTGAAGTTGAAACGTTGCAGCTTTTCATGAGACTTTTTCCACACTTTATCTTCACTGAGAGGGAATCGCTTTAAGTCTGCAAGTGTCTGGGATTCGTGGTTTCTTTAATTGAAACAGAGCTTGAAAGCCACCCGCTATGGTTTTCGCTTGGAAGTCCTCTATACTTTTTGGTGGCTACTATCGGGGTTCCCAAAACCGCCATGGAAAGGTCATGCGTTTGATGCGGGTTTTTCGCTTCATCATGGCCTTTCGAACTCTCATCGCCTCGATCTCCGACACGCTCTTGAGCCAAAGTTAAAGCTATGACAGGATGTGGCTAGATGTTGACCCAGAGACTATAGGAGCATCTAGGGACAAAAACAGAACATATAGAGCATTAAGTTAACGCGAGTTAATTGAAAATGCATATTGCATCCCCATTTTACCAGCAAAAAAACGCGGGTAGGCACCAATAAAGCACGGAATATGATCCGAAAACTGGCAGGTTCCAAGGACGGGTTTCCAGGTAGACGTGACGCGAACTTCGAACCGGTTCCAAGTATGCTCATGTCGCTGTGTAGGTGTGGTTAAGGATAAAGGCGGTGGGCCCCATGTTTTCATCATTTTTCATCCAAATGACGGACCCTCAAATTCAAATGATAGCAAATCCGGACAATTTGGACTACATCCTTTTGACGGTTTACCATTAGAACAGAACTGAAGTTATTTAAGTCACCCGCAACAAAATCGCATCCATACCAGCTGGGTTCAGTCAGCGGTGTCATCTTTCCGATAGTCTTCTAGTCTCGAGTGAGAGGTGTTCCCAGTGAGGTGGACGGGGTTGAAACATCAAACAATGTTGGTAGGGTGGGTATCCTAAGTTGCAGAGGTGCCATGAACCAAGGCTCAAGTCTCTTTTTTGGGCCTTGATGTTATTGGCTGTCATCGTCTACGTCTTCGCCGTTCTTTTTACGAGACACGGCTGCATTTTCTTCAGGTAATGCTGAGCTGCTCCCACGGTAGCTGAGAGAGTAGTAGAGAGTCGTTTGAACTCAGGCAAGCGGTGAATGACTATCTCTACGACATGCATCTTGGCAATGGTGATTTGTACCACGGGTGCATGTGTTGGCGGATTTTGGGGAAATGGAACTAGAATCCTCTGCCTATATACTCTAGAAGTGGCCCCCGCGGTTGTTGAAGATGGGTTTTTGTCTTTCCATGTTTTTCCACTGGCTAATCCACCATATGCATCCATTTGCCAGGTGGGGAGTCGAACATGTCTATTTGTTGCCAGCTTTAGCAACCCGCGTAGTAGTACCTCCTCCATAGTGTCTGATTGCAAATGGCATTCCACTCACTGAACTTGGGTATAGAGTTTGCTATGATCCAAATGCCACAGGTCCATATTGTGTGTCATCCACGATTCAATACATATCAATACATTATAAATCTAAATTAATCTAAATTGTTCAATTTCTGACATGTGTCACTTGAATTTATTTGGGTCAGGTGTCTGAGAAGGTCCAACGTGTCCAACTTTTAAAGCTCAAGGTATTTGGGGGTGTCCCGCATTGCACGGGCTCAGCACTCCATGGCAGTCCCAACCAATGGATCAAGTTAGAATATGTGGATAGTAGGCAGATAGGTACAAATAGGTTGGTTATTGTCGGGTTACCCCAGGGGGAAACCAGCATGAACCAGCAGTCTCGGCGACCAGCGTTCTCACTTTTTGACTTTTTGTGGATACAAGTCTTGCAATCGTAGGTTCCATCCTCCCAGCGGATATGATCCCAGCAATTTGTATCAATTTGTGCTTGGATTGAAACCACACCAGTTCTGGCGAAATCACATTTTGATATCAAAACCACGGTACCCTGGCGAACCCTACAATAGGTTCAATAGCTGGTGAATTGATTTTCCGCGCATCAGATTTGGTACTCTGCTACTTGGTGATTTCAAATCTTTAGGATGTTCCATCCTATTTGCCCATGATTCCAACTGCCCAGCTTATTTGTTGGGGGGGGTTGGCCCAACCACCAACCGGTGTAGCTTTCAATCCAACGTGATATCATTTGAAATCCGCATTAAGTGTGGATCACATTCATGAAAACGAAAACCCCATTCTGGATGATAAATTCACCGTTCTTGGATGTTTTTGGTAGAATCCCCATTCTTGATGGCAGGATTCCCCTTTCTGTTGATAAAATCATCTTTTTCGAATGGTCAAATCACCATGTTGGCTGGTAAAATTAATTTTGGCTTGTACAGAACAATCTCAATCCTCAAACATTTCCAGACAGTGGCAGGGACACACCACTTCCAGAACGAGAACAGCTGGCTGCGGAACGGTACTATTCATCGCTATGTGCGAGCCGTAGATTGGATGTGACATGTAGCTGAAACTGTCTTGAAGGGGTTTATATATTGACACGTCTTTAAGCAACTGATTTCATTTGCAGTTTCAGCAGCTGTTTTTCCATAGAATAGTAATATAGATGATAGATGTGAACAGGATCACAGGGTCGCTCTATACCCAATATTTGTCAGCGATTTTCGAGCAACTACAGTTTTGTTAGCCGATGCTGCGTGATCACGTCACCCAGACAGATCCAGCCACAAAAACACACCACTCACTTGCCCAGTGGCCAGTATCCTTCAACTGCAGGTGAGATGATTGGTGGATGTCATGTGGGTATTGGTCTTATTCAAAATTAAAATCTGGTCCAGAGTAGACACCTTGCATTTTTGCGTGTCAGATGCCATGTTGTTAAACTTACTGTAAGTTTGGTTGTTCAATCATGTTAAACATTTCGGTTGGTGAAACATGGTGAAAAATAGTGAAACATCCAAATTCATTCCAAATTCGTGATTTTCCATGGTTATCCCTTGGACGCATCAAAGAATGTTCCCGACTTTGCGGTCTCATCCTGCGTGGTCTCGCTGCGCGCAGTTGATACCATGCTCAGTCTCTTCATGGCCATCGCAAATGGCGTCAGTTGGCATGAGCTGGTCGCTCCTCTCAGGCTACTTGGGCCAAGAAACTGGTTGAAATGGGTCTGCAAAAATTACGGCACATGTTCATGATGGATATAACATGATATATATATAATTATATATACCTTGACTCTCCAACGACCCTTAATTTTTGGGGTCTTTCAAGAAAAATGGCATTTTTTTCCGAAAGTACTTTTTTTGAAATCAAGTATTGTTTTTTGCATGTTAGTGATGTTCACTCATGGAGGTACAGCTGAAACTGTGGAAATCAAATAAATGTGCCACATTGCCAACTTGCAACTCATTGTTGCAGGTGCCATTTTTGTTTTGGCTGCTTGAAGGTGCAGGAGCAAAGATTTCCAAACTATTGGTTCTCGTTTACGTGTTTGATGCCATGGTTTCGATCTTGCTTGCTTTGGGTTTTGGACGCGCTTTGCTCTTTCATTATTGCACGCATGAGGGTAGGTCTCAAGGGTAGGTCTCAACACTCAGTTGCGGACACGCGGGTGAATTGCTCAATTTTGGTGACAACTTGTCCTTGGAAGATTTGCCCATGCAACGCAAACATGCAAAGGCCTTTTTTCTTCAAACGTACCTTTTTTTGCTGAGGGCCGTCCGGACGGCGTCCGAAAGTACGGAAAAATGCGTCCAAAGTACGGAAATATCCGTCCGGCTTGGACCCGTCCGAACCAAAAGGATTTTTTTCCAAAAAACGCACCTTTTTTTTCACGTCCGTCCGTCCATCCGTCAAAACTGCTTCAGCAGCTGGCACCAGAAGATCAGGGCGAGTGGATGTGCTCAAACCCCGTGTATATTTTCGCATAAGTGTCGCAATGTGCAAATGTTTGCCCCCGCAGCTCATTATCAAAAGCAGGCGAAGGTTTTATATTTCGACACGAATTGTGGATCCAAAGCTTTTCAGCCATGAAGTTTTAGTTATGCGCCTGGGTCTGAATGATGTGTGAGGGTGCCTGATCCAACATTACACAGGACAAGAACAAAACGCTCACATGATTTAGCTTAGTAATGCTTAGTGTATATAGCCAGCACCTGCTTGGAAGATAAAAGGCCTTTTTTGCATGAAACGACCCCAAAAAGTATCAAACGTACCCAAAAAAGAGGTGTTTTGCAAACGACCCCAAAAACGAAGGGTAGTGGAGACTCCAGGTATATATAATTATATATATTGTAATTTGATGGAAGATCAGAGATATTGGTTGCTAATTCATGGCCAAAAATAATCCAACCCAAAAAAAAGAAACATATCTAAACCCTTAAGATTTTGGTGGATTTACATTTACATCCTAATTTTGGTGGTTGAAAATGGACAAGTGGGTGCCCAAAGTCATTAATGGTCAGGGATTCTAAGAAAGCCATCCGGTGATAAGAGTGCACTTGTCTATGTGTCCGAGCATGTGGTAGTTGTGCATCTCCATATAATTCTGGACTGCATATATTTATTATATTCATTCATCTAATACCTATGGCCATCCTATGGCCCATATGACGTATATTTCCTTCTTTTGCAAGGCACTTAAGGTTCTGCAGTCAAGAAATCTCAGGGGTAGTTTCATACAACACATTTCGACATGTGCCCGGCAAAGTTGCTTGAGGGAGCTGTCCTGGATTGTGCTGAACCACTCAAGGGATGGTTGGCTGCACCCAGGTATATATCCATCGTATGGGTTGCGCTGTTCCTTTTCTACATTTTCTTCACCTATTTTGCAGCGGGGCACTTAGTGAGGGAAGGCTTCGGGAACTCTCATCCCAAACATACACCGGAAAGGGGTGTCCAAGATCGAGAAAAAATATGGAAATGATCTGGCATACAACTTACTTTGACCTGTTTTTTCCCCACCTGCCACGTGGAGTCTCTAAATTTAACAAGACTTCCTGGAGAACGACGAACGAGCCAACGAACGAACCCAGCTACTACCCACACACCGCAACATAATTGCCAGCTTGCCAGCCTCCGCCAGTTCTCTGAATGTCAGATAGAATGTTTGACAGCATGTCAGCTAAAATGTCAGATAGAATGTCAGAATACATGTCAGGATATTTGCCATGGTGGGAATCACATGAAGTATAAAGATAAACCTGGATCAGACTCGACACGCAAGTGATTCCTAGGTCCTAGTGCAGTGGATCAGCTAGTCATACCAAAAGAACTGCCTCTTAAACAGAACGACACCTGGGATGACCACCTTCAGAGACACTCTGAAGCGCTGCAGGTCCTCAACGTTTCTTGGCGAGTGTGATGCGGGGATTGGACGAAACCATACGACGTCGTTACCTATGGGGGATGAACCATAGGTGACACCGAATGATTTTGGATATATTATGTCGAAAAAGTATGAACCAGTATATGGTAGTATATGATAGCATATGTGTACATGTAACTTTAAAATCCCCCATGTATAGCTCACTATAAAGTGGACATCCTTTGCGCTTATAAAGTGGGTTTCCGGTCGCCACTTTATATACCGACAATGGGGGATAAAGCCGTGTTTTGCGCGAGAAACATGCCCTTGGACCTGGAAGATGACTTTATAGCAACGTTGGCTTTCCAGTTTATACCCGGCTGGTTCCCCACAAGGAAACGACTCAATATATGCGGCAATGCATTTTATAGACCGTTGGTTCCCTTCAAAGAATGGCCATAATATGTCACACCATCCACTTTATAGAAACATGTCTCCCCAATGATTTCGGGCCAATATCTTTCTGTTGGGGCTGTATACATGGCAAAGCACTTTATAGAGTGAAACTTGCCCTTTAAGAAGAAGAATTTGTGCTGCATCCAGGGCACTTTATAGAAAGAAAATTGCGGCAGAGCATTTTATAGAGTCATGAGATACATCACCCAAATCACTTTATAGAGCTGCCCAGGACCCCATTCACCCTGAGGACCCCTTTCAAGGGAAATCTTCTTCTCTATAAAGTGGCCAGTCCAGGTAAAACCCTGAAAAAACAGAATCTATGTTGGACTGGCCACTTTATACCCCCTCCCCAAACAGAGAATGCCTCTATAAAGTGGCCAGTCCAGGTAAAACCCCTGAAAAAAAAACAGAATCTATGTTGGACTGGCCACTTTATACCCCCTCCCCCAACAGAGAATGCCTCTATAAAGTGGCCAGTCCAGGTAAAACCCCTGAAAAAAACAGAATCTATGTTGGACTGGCCACTTTATACCACCTCCCCCAATAGAGAATGCCTCTATAAAGTGGCCAGCCCAGGTAAAACTCTGAAAAAACAGAATCTATGTTGGACTGGCCACTTTATACCCCCTCCCCCAACAGAGAATGCCTCTATAAAGTGGCCAGTCCAGGTAAAACCCCTGAAAAAACAGAATCTATGTTGGACTGGCCGCTTTATACCCCCTCCCCCAACAGAGAATGCCTCTATAAAGTGGCCAGGTAAAACCCCTGAAAAAACACATTTTTACCTGGAATGGCCAGTTTATACCCCAGCCAGTCGGCTCCAGGACTTTGACCCGGAAACGGAAGGACTGACAACAAGGTAAAGGGGGAAAACTACAACGGAGAGGTACAACGGGAAGGCTACCACAAGAAAATGAGACATGTCACGTTTATATACGTTTATTGTTTTCAATGTGTCATATTAGATTGGCGATGATTGGTATATTGAATATGTTGTAGATGTATTTTGGAACATATGTATACCTATGATTCACACACCAATATAAATATATATAAATCATAAACACATGCCAAACCAAAAACTTTTAGCTGAGTATTGTATTCCCAATCTGTTGGCCAATGTCCAGCCGATTCACCATGCGTGACCCAACAAGATTCAAACTATGGATTGTTTACTTTTGAAAAAAAAATACTGGGTGAATCTACGTATATCTATGACGACAATCTCCCAAAATCATCCTAAAAATCTATGGACATCTATGGACCAAAACCACGGCCACATGCCCATCCTCTATAAAATGGTTTGCAAGAAAGTTCAGCTCTATAAAGTGGTTTGATCACGTCATTTCTGGCAGCCCCACCCTCTGTATAAACTGGCCGGTCCATGCCCATCCTCTATAAAATTGTTTGCAAGAACCAGTAAAAAAATATTTTCGAAAGTAAACAATCCATAGTTTTGAATCTTGTTGGGTCACGCATGGTGAATCGGCTGGACATTTGCCAACAGATTGGGAATACAATACTCAGCTAAAAGTTTTTGGTTTGGCATGTGTTTATGATTTATATATATTTATATTGATGTGTGAATCATAGGTATACATATGTTCCAAAATACATCTACAACATATTCAATACACCAATCATCGCCAATCTATATGACACATTGAAAACAATAAACGTATATAAACGTGACATGTCTCATTTTCTTGTGGTAGCCTTCCCGTTGTACCTCTCCGTTGTAGTTTTCCCCCTTTACCTTGTTGTCAGCCCTTCCGTTTCCGGGTCAAAGTCCTGGAGCCCACTGGCTGGGGTATAAAGTGGCCATTCCAGGTAAAAATGTGTTTTTTCAGGGGTTTTACTTGGACTGGCCACTTTATAGAGGCATTCTCTGTTGGGGGAGGGGGTATAAAATGGCCATTCCAGGTAAAAATGTGTTTTTTCAGGGGTTTTACCTGGACTGGCCACTTTATAGAGGCATTCTCTGTTGGGGGAGGGGGTATAAAGTGGCCAGTCCAACATAGATTCTGTTTTTTCAGGGGTTTTACCTGGACTGGCCACTTTATAGAGGCATTCTCTGTTGGGGGAGGGGGTATAAAGTGGCCAGTCCAACATAGATTCTGTTTTTTCAGGGTTTTACCTGGACTGGCCACTTTATAGAGGCATTCTCTGTTGGGGGAGGGGGTATAAAGTCAAACATAGATTCTGTTTTTTCAGGGGTTTTACCTGGACTGGCCACTTTATAGAGGCATTCTCTGTTGGGGGAGGGGGTATAAAGTGGCCAGTCCAACATAGATTCTGTTTTTTTCAGGGGTTTTACCTGGACTGGCCACTTTATAGAGGCATTCTCTGTTGGGGGAGGGGGTATAAAGTGGCTAGTCCAACATAGATTCTGTTTTTTCAGGGGTTTTACCTGGACTGGCCACTTTATAGAGAAGAAGATTTCCCTTGAAAAATTCCTCAGGGTGAATGGGGTCCTGGGCGCGCCGCGCGCGCGCCAAAAAGGTGTCAAAATTGGAGCCATTTTGGCGCGCGCGCGCGCGCGGCGCGACCAGGACCCCTTTCACCCCAAGGACCCCTTTCAAAGGAAAGTGTGTTAGAGGCATTCTCTGTTGGGGGAGGGTATAAAGTGGCCAGTCCAACATAGATTTGGTTTTACCATAGATTCTGTTAACGAGTTCGATATAGATATTTGTCTGGCTGTCGGTTTCGTTCGGTTTCGAAGTCATTCGAAGTCTTTTGGGTTCCCCATCGATGAGATCGATGATATTCCCCCAAGGTTTGAACGTGGCCCCTCAACTTTATAGACAATCATGTCGATGCTGCCATCGTCGCGATTAAGAAAATCATCGCTACTACAACGATCGTTGTTTAGCCGGAAATCCACATTATAGTGCCACTGTTCTGCACAAGTATTACTATCTGGATGTTCAGCATCTCACTTTATAGTCATGGGACATGTTCACAAGCACCCTCAAAAACCTGCATCGAGTTTTATGTTTTTACGCGGCCAGGCGACTTTATACAAACGTTGGATTTTGACTTTATAGACAAAACATGTTGGCTTTCCACTTTATAGACTCCAGACACGTGGCCATTCCAGTTTATACCAGGCTATTCTCTATAAAGTCGGCCGCAAAGCATCTAGCGGGCTATACATGGGGGATACTTTAAATATATACGTATGTATATATTATATTATTATCACATATATATATATATTACATACGGGGATCCATGCGAATGTGGGAGAAACATACCAAGGTGGGTCGCACATCATTCATTCTATTGTCACAATTGTTGCAGCGTTGGGAAGGACATTCCCAACACCTCTCACACGACATTCTATGTTTTGATGCTCAGACTGGTGTCAGAAATCCAAATGACAAAGCTGGGAGTGACAATGGGCAGGATTCGGCAGGAGTACATTCCAACTTCCCAGAGGTCAGTCAAAGTGTGTGCATAGCCATGCATAGCCATGTAATTTGCTCTTTGCGTCCCAATATGACATGAGCGTTTTTTGTTGTATTAATACCACTTTGAAGATGTTTTGGGAGTTGCGTCCACAAGGTGTTTCCTCATCTTTCACACAGCAAAACTTGCCAAAACAGAGTTTGTCGTACATCGGCGTCCCATTGGGGTTGACCTTGCTTTTGGTCAACTTATTTGACTTCCTGATCCAACGGCGTCCCAATGAGATTTGACACAATTCTGTTAAATTGGTCGACTTTAACGGTTCGGTGTACGTAGGTGTACGTCTAGGCGACCACAAGGGCCCATCTTGTTCAGGAAGAATATATGTATACATGTATATGCATTTTTAGTGCACGCGAGCATCATCGTTTCCCCAAGGAATTTTAGGGTGAACTGCCAAGACCACAAAAAACTTGACACATGATCGACCCCCCAACAGTTCATGAATGGGAGCCCTGTCTCATTTGAAGAATCTCAGGCTAGGATGAGTACAGTAGTTGTGTGGGATGCTGCGGTCAGAGCAACAACAAAGCCAGGTGGTCACCGCGGTATTCTGCAGCCGCCTCAGTGAGAAACAACACGTTGACATGAACCCAGCAGCACATGTGGCTGGATATCTTCTTGTACGGAATGCACGTTCAATGTAAATACAGTATCAATATGTATCACTGCATCAACAGTATTCCATC